GAAATGTCTCCAGAGCAGCACGGCTTCCTGTGAGAGGGTTAGATAGGACGGATGAATGGATGTATTTGGATTTGTGAGTAGAAGAATGGAGAGATGGAGCCATGGAATCCAGAATGTCTGGAGTTCTGAGTCCCAGTATTAAGAGTTGCACGGATGAATGTGTGCATCAATGAATAACTGATCAGATGGTGGATGTCTGAGTTTGTCACAGATCCTGTATTGGGTGCTTGGTAGGACTTTACAGATGCGTGGGTGGAAGGAAAGGTGGAAAGGAGGATGATGGATGGAGGTATTGATGAATGAATGGACGACGGCTGGATGGATGGATGGGTGAATGGACTGATGGAGGGACGGATGGAAGATGGATGGAAGGATGGATGGATGGATTAATAGACAGGGGGATGGATGGATGGATGGATGGATGGATGGATGGATGGATGGATGTTGGGGTCGACGGGGCGATGAATGGATAGATAAAAGAATGGATGGATGAGTGAGTAGATGAAAGAATGGAAGAATGGATGGATGCATGGATGTTTGGGGGGATGGATAAATGGATGGATGGATGGATGGATGGATGGATGGATGGATGGATGGATGGATGTTGGGTCGACGGGGCGATGAATGGATAGATAAAAGAATGGATGGATGAGTGAGTAGATGAAAGAATGGAAGAATGGATGGATGCATGGATGTTTGGGGGGATGGATAAATGGATGGATGGATGGATGGATGGATGGATGGAAGAATGGAAGAATGGATGGATGCATGGATGTTTGGGAGAATGAATGTATAGAAGGATGGATGGATGGATGGATTTACAGATGAGTTGTTACATGGATGGCTGGTGAACGAAAGGATGGATTGAAGGATGGTTGGATGGATGGATGAGTGGGTGCATGGACGCATCGTTGGATGGATCGATGGATGGATTGATAGGTGAATGGATGAATGAGTGGGTGGATGGGAGGATGGATGGATGGAGGGATGAATGGATGGATGGAAGAGTGGGTGTATGGATGGATGAATGGATGGATGCATGGATGAATGGCTGGAATTGATGGATGGATGGATGGATGGATGGATGGATGGATGGATGGATGGATGGATTTATGAGTAAAAGCATGAGTATACATAAACAGTGTGTAACGAATTCCTGTAGAGCTGGATGCTGATGGAAAGCATGGAGGGCTGAATGGATGAAAGGATACAGCAATGGATGGTTGGAGTTATGGATGGTTGATGGACCCTGAAAGTCTTCAAGGCCAGGTCTGACTGTGCTGAATCGACAAATGAATGTACTAAAGGTGGATGATGGTGTTCTTCGTCATCATGTGTTGAGTGTTTGAGAGGTCTTTAGAGCAGCATGGCTGCCTGTGGGATGGATGGATGGATGGATGGATGGACGGATGGATGGATACATTTGGAAATATGAAAGGATGGATGGATAGAATGTGAATCATTGAGGGTTGCATTGATGAATAGATCCATCAATAGATGAGTGGTCAGACAGTAGATGATTGAGCATGTCGATGATCCTGTACTGGGCCCTTTATAGGACTCTATAGATGCAGGGTTGGATTGATAGATGGATGGATGGATGTGTGGATGGATGGATGGATGCATGGATGGATGGATGGATGGATGGATGGATGGATGGATGTGTGGATGGATGGATGGATGCATGGATGCATGGATGGAAGTAAGAAACGATTTATGAGTAGAAGGATGAGTATACATAAACAATATATGTTGAATTCCTGGAGAGCTGGATGCTGAAGGAAAGCATCTAGCGCTGAATGGTTGAAAGAATACAGCAATGGATGGCTGGAGTTATGGATGGTTGATCGACCCTGAAATTCTTCAAGGGCAGCTGTGACAATGATGAATCAGTAAATGAATGTACTGAAGGTGGATGATGGGGTTGTTTGTCATCATGGGTTGAGTGTTTGACAGGTCTTTAGAGCAGCATGGCTGCCTGTGGGATGGATGGATGGATGGATGGATGGATAGATGCATGGATGGATGGATGGATGGATGAATTTGGAAATATGAGTTGGTTAAGGTGGTGAGGCACTGGAATGGGTTGCCCAGGGAGGTTGTGAATGCTCCATCCCTGGCGGTGTTCAAGACAAGTTTGAACGAGGCCTTGGGTGGTATGATTTACCGTGAGGTGTACCTGCCAATGGCAGGGGAGTTGGAACTAGATGATCTTAAGGTCCTTTGCAACCCTAATTATGCTATGATTCTGTGATTCTATGAATATGGAATGCCTGGAGAGCTTTACCTCAATGAGGAGCATTGAGGTTGCATTGATGAATAGATCCCTCAATAGATGAGTGGTCAGACAATAGATGATTGAGTACGTCGGTGATCCTGTACTGGGCTCTTGATAGGATTCTGTAGATGCAGGGATGGAATGAATGATGGAAGGGATGATGAATGATGTATGGATGAGGCATGCATGCGTGGATGGATGGATGGATGGATGGATGGATGG